TTCTGTGTATAAAGATGGTAACTTTTTCGTTTTACATCAGTAAGCAAGAATAATCTACATATATTGTGCTCTGTGAGTGATATGGAGTCGATTTCCCAAATACTATTTCGAGGCAAATTTGTTAAAAACTGCATTCACACAGTTACCAATAGTCATTACTAAAAGACCTCTTTATTTCCAGTCAGTGTTTCTGAAAGTAATTTAAAAATAGCTCCCTTTTCGATTAAACCTTACACACTCGCACATCGACTTGTACTTTCAAAAGTAACAAATTTTTATTTGAGGTTTCATTTATGATCATATCAGAGCAAAATCGAAGATCGCTGAAGAGCATAGAGAAGCATAAAAATTTCAATTTCTTCTCTCTGATCTATCAGCTATCTTTTCTTCTAAGTTCACACGAAAAAACAAACAGAACTGTACGATGTAAACAAATACAGTAACAATCACTTTACGCACGAGTACAATTTTTAGTTTTACTACAAAGAAAATATCAAAAATAAGAATATCTAAACAATAACAACACAAGAAGAAGGATTGTGAACTACAGAATCGGGTACGATGTAGAATATATCAGACAGAAATAGGTTTCAAAGGCACAAAGATTGTTGTTTACGCAGCAATGAAAACAAATAGATAATAACAGAACAAACAAATAGAGCTTACTTAGAGTACCACCTCATAGGATAGTTATGATGAATTGCCTTAGGGGCAAAATAGAAAATGGTAAGCGCAAAAATGGCGAAAAACTAAAATAACAAATGTGAGAATGGTGCCAGTTTAAGTATAAAGTTAAGGAAGTGTCAAATAGGTAAGCTCAATAGGGCTTAGTATGAACAAAACTTTAGGGCCATCTAGAGTGCGAAAAAATCCATTTGTTTCCGAGTCTTGCTGGTCAAGTTAAGTTAACATTAATTGAAGTTGAACATCTATGTTACAAGTGAATTTAAAATGTACCTAGGCTAACTGAGAATCTCTGAGTTGCCTGTAGAACATCTGGACGCATTTCAAAACGTAATGACGAGTGGTGCCTCGTATTTTGCCACTCGTCATTACGTTGGCAATTCGTCGTTGGCGACTCGTCGTTGTTATTGTTTCGACAATTCATCATAACTATCCATGTCACTCTAGTTTAGAAGGAAATTGTACTTTTATTCCCTTCTCCTGCATCCTCTTTTAATTACGATCCGGACCAAATTCTTCATCCATGGTTTTGTGCATTCGTTGAATCAGATGATTAGCTTCAGCCAAAACCTCAGCCGTTTGAGCCGTAATTGGGGACATTCTTCGCCTTGGTTCTCCATATGTTTCGAAATCTTCTTGGTCGAAATTTGTTACATCTCGAATTGTACTTGGTCTTTCACGTGAATTTGTTGCTAATGCTAATGGTTGATGGAATCCACGTGATGATGTCGGATAGGTGTTCGAAGCCGATGTTGTTTTTCGATCAGAACTATGATGTACTGAGGTGGCCGTTGGAGAGCTGTACGTTGATGAAACAGATCGTCTACTGTCCGTACCAGTGCAGCGTGGAAAAGGATGCGGGCTTCGCGACCGATCATTGTTTCGAACTGAAGCTAATGGGGGTGTTGCAGTGAATGGTAGCGTGTTGCTTCTGTTTTCGGTACGTGGAGGGGTCTGTATCACATCATTTGAATTATTTATTGCTACTGGCATTAAGGCGTTAAATGTATCAGATGTAGCAGGAGTGGTGTATCAAAGAATCTTTAATGATACTAGAATACACGCGATAATTAAATGGTACAGTACGTTCAATTCTTCTGTGTGTATATCCTAATGGAATTTCGAAAAAGTTGCTGCCAGATCGAGTCATCATTGTAAGGTATTTTTTGACGTGTTGTACCTCACAGCTGATTTCATGGTCTGGGTTTTACAAAATATATTTTTCTTGTCAGTTCCTCTCTCTCACTCACTTATGAAAAAATATGTTTTTCTCTTTTTTTACAAATGATGTCTATTATTCGCTCACTATCCGAAAAACAATGTATTTTTCTGTCTCTTTTTCTGTCTTTGGTCATATTCTTTTAACTTTACATCACGTTAAACGCTTTTATTGGCTGGAAAATGTAAATGAAAATTTTTGAAACATCTATTTCCATATCACCGAAACAAAAAAAATAAAGTTGGTTTAGAGTTGCTGAAAAGTGATTTTTCGTATTCAGCACACTCGATAACCCAGAAGATTTTCTATTTTTGGCTCGGGGTACTTCCGAAAGTTTAAGAAAAATTTTGAAACAAAATGACGCAAAAAGTTTTCCATGGAAAAATAATATTAATTTGAAAACGTTTCCTAAACTTTCGGAAGTACCTCGGCCAAAAACAGAAAATCTTCTGGGTTATCGAGTGTGCTGAATACGAAAAATCACTTTTCAGCAACTCTAAACCAACTTTATTTTTTTTCCGGTGATATGTTATATATTTTAATCTTTTAAAAACTTTTAATTAAATAAATATGAACTTAAACCAGCTGCTGTTACTATTTGATCTATTCTGAAATTGTTAACGCTGGACAAATATAACGTTTTAAGAATATACATATCGTTTTGGTATCACATATGAAAAAATCTGTGGCCTCACCTTCAGGAAGAAAGAGAGAGCCACCGTTTGTGCGTCTTTTCGAGGATGTGCGCCGTTTCATCCTCATCCTCATTTATATGATTACATACAGAGTCAGATGACTATTCATACGATATCGTTACGAGCTGGTTCATTTCACTAAATAATTATCAACTTGTAGATTTCACCTATCTTCAATGACCACCATACATTACAATCGAGATTACTGTAATATATCCAGAAAATCGTGCATGTATCCTCGCCTAGATGTGACTGAGTTGAAACCGGTACACTGTACACTAGAAAATTATTTATACAATATTTTACAAGATATTCTAGAAACGTCCATACGAACTCATACACGAATTTTTACTTTATTGAAATTACGGTATTCAATAAGCTAGAAATCATGAACTCGATTTTCTAGTTAAATAATCGAAAGCGAATTTGTATGGACTTTTCTAGAAAACAAGAAGAGACACATCCTGTCTCGGTGTTTCGTATGTGTTGATGTTTTCGCCCTCACCCCAGTAGCGGATTTAGGGGGCATGTGGACTAGGCTGCCGCATCGGAGCTCAGTCGCTTTTTCCTAGCAGAAGATTTTGAACATCAAAAAGTATTACAAATTTCTGCTGTTTAATACAGCATGCGCATCTCCCTTACAAATTTCTGGAACCGCCATTGCCTCACCCTTCCAGAGAGAGACGTCTTGTGTGTGTTTCATGTTTATGGACTAATTGCGTATAATAACGTGATATTTATTCAACCTCAAAATAATTAAATCATTTTCCAAAAATCTCCTTGATTTCAACGACTGATGGAAGAATCGCTTTTTCATACAGAACATCGTTCTCGACAACGGATTCTTCGCTTGACCGTCGTTCGACTTGCCAAAAGATCGTCTCACGATCAGGCTTTCCGATTGTTTTCAGGAGTCGGAGGGGCTCAATTTTCGCAGACAGTCGAAAAATGATTTTCTTTGTGAAAAGTGACTGCCGAAAAACGTTTTCAACATTTCTCGGTAAATGGTGCTCGCGATCCTCACGAGTAGCGATTGTACACAGGCAATCCCTCGACTCCGATTTGTTCGTCAATCGCGATAGAAATGAAGAAAATACGACATTCTTTAGTCGCCGTTTCGCGAGATTGAGATCATCAATGAGACTGAAAGAGGTGAGTCGAAAGCGAAGTTCCATCAAAAAATCTGATGGATCGAGTGAACAGGAGCAACTCAGGTTCGATCAACAGTGTCACTTTGCTTTGTCGTTGGCAAAATCCAACTTCAATTTGAACTCTTTCCTTTGTTTGTTTCAGTGCAAAATCAAAATACATGTGGCTTTTCTTTTCGAAGGACACTCTTTTTCATCAATTCATTCATTCATTTATTCGATTGAGATTTGTTGAAAGCCAATCTTTTCTCTGTTGGTTTCAGAAAACCAAGAGTGTTGTTCGTTTAGAAAATCCAGATCATTCCTTAAACTGGGCCAAAACAAATCATATTGTTCTCTTCAGATGTTTGTTGTTGTGCGACATGAAACATCAGATCCCTTGTTGAATAGTTGATAGTAAGAGATCGAATTAGAAGCAACACTTTTGCTTTCTTGGCCGCTCGAACTCGATCATTCCTGTTTACAGAATCAAAGAATCCTGTCGAATTTCGTCGACTGAATGCAGAGTCCTTTTCTGCACGTGCATCTAGATGTACGTGGAGCTGAATCTAGATAAATAACCCAAAAAATTGGGTCGTTTTTGCTTGGGTTCGAGTAGTGAGTGTTGTGTAAGTGATGGTGGTAATGCGGAGTCTTGTGTCGTAAAGGATGAAAGGTGGTCAATGAGTTCAACGATACGTTGTGGTGGAGATGCACGCCTCGCCGGATGTTCATTCATATATTTAACAAGTTGTGTAACGGCTTGACAGTCGCGGATGGCATAATTTATAACACGGGCACGACGTCGGAGTTTAGTGTGAATGTCGTTCGTACGATCAGGACCGACTAACACTGGATGAATGTGTGTTGAGAGATATTCGTCAAGTTCACATCGCCATTTAGATATTGTGTATTGTTTGTCCAAAAACAACTGAAAAATGGCCTCAATGGCCACTTGTAAACTCAATTCATCCTTTGGATTAGTATGCGGTTTTGTGAGATATAAATATTTCTCCCAGAAAATTATAATTCGATTGAATTTTTCACGAAACGAGGTTCGAGAAGGCTGAAAGTTAAAGATGCGCACAACCCTCACAAACAGTCAGTACAATTTCTACTTGACGGCTTTACGGATGTCTTCAGTATTTGGCTTTCTGAGCTGCCTAGAGAGTGTGACTGGCTTGACTTGAGAAATTTTTTCAAGTCAAGTCATTTTTAGTAAGAGATTTTTGTTTAAATTAGACTTTTTCTCCCATGAAAAAGAGAGAGTTTCTGAGACTATAAAAACTCTCTCACCCAAAAGCTTCTAGCAAATTTTATGTTCTGCCTAATTGTAACCAGACTTGACTTCACTTGGCGGAAAAACCTTCAAGGGATGACTTGACTTATGACTTACAAAACTTCTGACTTGTCCAGCTCTGCTTCCCTTTCTGTAAAAGTGGATGAAGTCTGTGAATGATAAAAGAAAATTATTTTACATTTTAGGACACTAAATAGTACTTTTTGTAATATTATTCATAGTGTTTGGTTAAAGTCATTAAATATTATACAACGTAACGGTACTAAAAAACCGAGATACAGTAAATTAAAGTGAACTGTAATTAAAAACTTTTATTATTAGAACACGAAGAATAAGAACTTTGGCTAAAAGAAACAGTGGCAGCAGCGGCTCATCAACTGCGTTTTGCACAGCAAGTGATCATTGTAGTCTAGGCACTTTGCAAAGCTAACGATGAAAATGATTAGTGAGAATGAGAAAAAATT